GTATATCATAAATCTATTTTTTTATGTAACAATTTAATAAAAAAGGTTAGGGTTTCTATTTACTTTCTTGCTTTACTTATTAGATTTTTTAATGCATATAAAAATGCCTTTATGGCATTTAAAATTTTTAAATTATAACAAACCACAATGTTATTGCTAATTGATATTTTGTAATGAATTCAAGTCAATCCCACATATGTTTAAATTATATGAATAACATTATATATTATTAGGTAACTTGTATGTGATTAGAAATATAATGCAATCAATTATTAGTATCATACTACATTGAACAAATTTAAATGTTAGGAAAATAATATATAAATAAATAAAAATAGTTAAATATATTTTTTTATAGCAAAAAATGTTTAATATTTACTCATACAAAAATAAATCAACTTTTCCGTTAAATAGCCAAGTATCACAAACAAGTAACAACAACAACAAGTAACAACTGCAATATTAATAAGAAAATAAACTATTTCCATCAGAATTCTAGGAAGGACTATTTACGCGTATGATATTTATGTAAATTCTGTACACTGGTCGCTCACTAAAGTTCTCCTGCCGAAGAGAGCTTACAAATTTCTAGTGAACGACAGAAGTTCTCATGAATGGTCGTCATGCGCCCTTGTATTTTAGTACACTTCCAACATTAATTAGTTATTCATTCAAACCGATTCGATGTCTAATTTCGATTTGTCCGTTTCATATTATGGTGAAATATGGTGATTGATATTTGTGCACACTGTAGGTATAATATAGTAACGGACAAGATACCTGAAACGTGGTTGTATAGTATGTACCTATAATGGCGAGACGGTTATGATAAAATAAATCCTATTTCTTGCCTTCCCGATTTATTCACCTCGCCAATAAACCTAACCAAACAGTATTATTACTATATTTTTGTACAGCAATTACGTTATAGGTAATCAATAATGAAAAACATATCTATTATGTAATTATATATGTTTTGATGTGTTATTTACATTATTATTATAGTATTATAAAATTATAATAAAAATATTACATAGAATGCGGGCGACCGTGTTACAGCTCTGATGGGTAACCACGGACGGCGGCCCTGACCTGTCGCTGGATAAAATTTGAGGGGAGGTCATAACATAATATGGCCATCCATCATTATAAATATTAAGGAATACCTATCTATACATTAGTTATAAGAGACCGATTAAATCCTGTCACGCACCGAGCCTTATAGTCACGGTCTCCAAAAAACGGCAGTCGTCTACGCGTGTCATTAGTCCTCAGGGGTTAATCTTAACAAGAAAACGCCCCCAGCTAGACGCCTTCTTGATTTTGGCGGCGGTAGTGGTGTTTTGTGTGTGTGGCGGCAGAATGATCGATCAGTATTTGTATCTTAATCTCGATGGTCGAAGCCGAAGTGACCGTCCAATCTGCTGCTGTGTATAAACAGTATATAAACACGAACCAACTGTATACGGAGGACGAGATATGGTGCTCTACGAATATAATATTATTGTAACACAATTTCGTTTTAAAAATTATGTTGAATTCAGAAAAATATTCATAAATAATATGAAGATTGTGAAAATTGAGATGATTATCTGTAGTGTGTATAATAATTACTTTTTATAAAGTACATAATATGTACAACAATGTTTCGTTGTATGGTAACGGAAATTGTTATGCTTTTTTATTGGAAATTCAAAATATTTTATCTCATCGTTGAAATTATGACTTTAATTCAATAAATGGGTTTGTGTGAGCACTGTGAGCCAAAGCACAAACGACGATGGTTCATATTTTAATTATTTTTCTTCCTATGATTTCTAATGAAAAACAAAATCGAATGTGTATTATTTTTCTTTTAACTATATACATTTTTATGAAGATCGATTTGAAATTGCTCTTGCTTAAGAATAAATTATAAAACTCAAAAGTAATAATATACCTATGCATTTTTAGTTTTTAAATGTTAATATCATATTCATTTAACCCCCCATATAACAAACTACAAACGTGTGCTGGTCATCTTAACCGATTCACCTTCATCCACAGTTAAATCTCCTGCTGTGTTTTTAACGGACACGTGTCCTTAAAAAATTTTTTTTTTCTAACTCGAAATAATAATAAAAAAAATAAATAAACAAAAGAAACGATTACAATATACGTATTTTTTCATGACATATTATTTTTCATTCTAGTTCAATTATAGAACAAATATTAATAAGTGTCTTGGCACGTGTTCTAAAATGTCATAAAACATATGTTTGATTATAATAATTTGCAGACCATATTTTTATAATATTTAATACATTTTTGTTTTAAAACATATACAGTGCTATAACAAGACTGGAAGATCTATTTTCATATCAACATACAACAGTAAACCGATTTTCTTTACATTTTGAATCATTGAAAATCAACTATAATTGAAGGCACCAATTTGAATGATAGGTACTTATTTTGTCTTTTTTTGGTGTTAAAAGGGGACAATAAGAATAGGTATATAAAATACAGACGTAATACATAAAAAAAGAAAGGGAAATAGATAATATACAAATACGTGGAAAAATTTTGAGGCATTAATGAAACTATCAAAGATTGATTTTTATAAAAAAAACTTTAATGGAGTATATTTAATTTGTCATTCTATTAATATCATAAAATGCATCTCTTGCAGCTCACTACATAGTTTGTTTTTGAGACGTACTGGATAAGTGGGAATTGAGGTGGTTGCTAGATTTTTGACGAGTGAATTAGTGTGGAAAATTAGAAGATTGTAGACAAATTTGTGAGTTCCTTTGATTTCTTCATGGATGGGTTTCAATTTAAGATCAGAATGAACTATATATATGATTAAAGTGTATAGTGGCGTATTAATAAATTGTCTTAGCAAAATATTTTGGAAAGTTTGGGTTATGTCAACGATCGATTTTTACATTGCTTTTTGTTATATAGCTAGGTAGATATTTCAATATCATTTTTTAGTTTTTAATCATTTTTATAACAAAATATTTCTTATTTGGCTTATCACCTAATATCACCTGCCCTTATGAGTTATTTTAATTAAATACGAATTGTTGTATTCATTTACATTTCGTATAAAACATTTTATCGGACGGACAAATCTTAACAAACAACATCAAATAAAATACTGACGATTTAGGTACTAGATAATATTTATATGTACTTGTTACCTATATTAGTGTAATAATTAATCACACTTTTCCTGTCTTTCTCCTATATAACTGCTAGGATATAGGTAATGTACTGAACTCCTTCCTCTACCCTAATAACGCTGTCTATTTGAGCTGTTGGATTTTATGTAAGATGTCCATGTTATGAAAATATTAAGGTAATAGTTTTACAATCTATGCGTTTTCTAAACTACTATACGTGGTTTGGACTTGAAATAACATTAAATTTAATATTGAACGATTTTAATGAACCGTTAACACGATCAATAATTGCTTGGACCGTTCAGTCGATTTTAATGATCGATCTCCATGCCTGGCGATGCATAATGAGAAAACTGTTACATGCGATTGCAGTGCATTGATTTTCTGTCTTTAATAACTATGTACTATAGTATTTAAGATGTACGAAAAAAAAAAATATTCAATTCAAATCATACTCAATAATTATAGTAAAGTAAGTTTGACTTTCTCCAATGGTTTTGACTTTTTACGTTCAAATTTTAAATTTTACTGCATTAGCATACTTGAAATTTAAAAATATCTGGTTATCAGCTATCAAATATTACTATGTACACAATTTCGTATCCGCAAAATTTGTAAAAAGTATTAATTTTTTATATTAGTGTATTTACGGTGTATTACATTCATCAGTTTTAGTGAAAATGAAACATTTTTAACAAGAGCAGTAAACTGTAAGTATATTACAGGATATTGTAAGACCATTCGAATGTAATGCAATATTATTAAATAGAATAACATGACTAAATTGTCTTGTTTAAATAAACCCGGGGCAAAATTTGTTTTGTAAAAGTGCTCGAACTTTGAATCGTATTAAATCATTTTTTTTAATACGACAAAAAACCGAACATAATAAAAAATATATATTTATACTTATAATAAATAGTAGTTACAATTGTATGTACTATACAAATAATATATTATAGTAAACAGCTTATTCATTTTTCTTCCATAGTATTCGATATAAATCACTTGAATTATTTATTATGTTATATATAGGTACTTTTATAAAAGTCAAACGGTTTATAAATATTTGTACGAATTGTTGTGATGTCCAAATCAAAATAAATAAGATATTAATTTGTCGATAAGTTTATTTATTTTTTAACAAATAATTATTGGTAAATACTAAATATTATTATGTACTTATTGGACATAATATATAACTGTATCACATTCCTCGAACGATGCCGTTTGCAATATAATGTGGCTCAGTTGTATATAATGCAGGTATTCGTAAAAAAATGTATTTTTGAAAAAATATTTTCATTTGAACGAAAAAATAATAAAGTTCTTATTACATTTAAAATTAATTTAAATCTAGAATATTTTTTGTTAATAATTGAAAAGCGTACTATTGTACCTGTAACAAAATTGTTTATGAATAATATTTTATATGTATAAAATATAAAACAAGCATGGCATCTAAAGAATCGCTATTATTAAATATTTTTATGGTATGCAGCTAAGTTTTAATATAATGTTGTTACTTTTGCAAATTGCAATGTAATAATATTATATAATATACAATTTTTTCATGATTCTGATTCTTAGTATATATATATTTTTTAAATATGTCGTGCCTATCTTGTGTAACTATTAAATAATTGTTATATTCGTGCCTAAACTATTTTTACCTTATGGGAGCCTATATATATTTAAAAATAAATCAAATATCAATGTTTAATATTGAAATAAAATTAATAATTAATTGTAAATATTTGAATTTGTATTTTTTGAATAAACCAAAATCGAATCCAATACCGTGGAAGTTTGGAGGGAAATACAAACATGACAAAGATTTTCGTATTAAATTCTTATTTACTCGTATTTACTACGAACGAGTCGAATATTGTCAAAGTGCTGCAACCAATCACTCGAATGATGTCTGCTTCGACTAAGAGGATACAAACAGCGGACCATATTAATATCGATAATATACTGCATCATGTGTGTGTGACGTGTGTATTTATTATATATATGTAGCTCTATATTAAGAGTCCCTTCGCGTTTTCATTGCAACATTATTTTGCCGCCTCATTACAAAACGGCGTATGCTCCTCAGACTTCGACGATATCGAAATGCAAGAAGAAAGAGTCTGTAAAAACAAAAAACAAAAAATAGAAAGGAAAAAAAACGATACGTGCACGTATATAATATAATATATTATAATATATTCATTTGTGGTCACCAAATGTACGCCGTCCCGTTTAATTGACATGTTGCGCGGTAGAGGAGGTATTATTATTAATTATTATGTACAGTATATAATATAATATAGTTGTATAGTAGTAAAAAACGAAAAGGGGGACGACCATCGATGGCGTACACATGTTTGTGTACATACGGTATGGTAGCACTTGGATTTTTTTTTCAACACAATATTAAAACTTTTTCTACAGTCATTGTCGTCGTCTTCTGGTTATTCGCCGTAAACACACACACACATACACAAACACACACACATATGCGCGAGCCCATACTTATATATAATAATAATAATAAAAATAATTAATAACACAATAATATTCATCAACTATTATTATCCGATTGAAAGATGACAACGAGAAAAAAAATGAAAAATAAAGCGTAGAAAAAAAAAACAAACATGACGTCTAAAACGCGAGCTAAACACTCGGTAATGGCGACAGGGATCGAGGCGTTATACACAAAGCCGGTGGACAAGGGGATGCGGAGGAGGTGAAAATCACGTGTGCCGACTCGGTGATTAATATGCCAGAGGAATAAAAAAAGAAACGTCCCTTCGAACCTATGATGTGCTCTCCGAGGTGACGAGGAGCCAGTCTTGCACAGGCCACGAAGACGAACAGGTTCATCGCACATCTAAGACCGATACCAAATAATACGCGATACCTATTCATCAAGATAATATTATACTGTGATCTTGTGTTGTTATAAAATTGCTATATCGCAGCATAAATCGATCGACGTCAGCAATATTTAAGTCAGTGTTTAGTGGCAGTTAGTTTATAAAAAAATAAAATAATTACCGAGGAAGTCAAAACCGTACGGCTCTGAAAACCTCCTGCGTGGGTGCATTTTTATTTCTATTTCATTCGTTTCGCAAATATCGAAAAGAACGCCAAAAGATTCACGATGAAGATCGAAAACGACGCAGATCCTTATATGTGGTTTGCCGACTGTCTGGGACCTGAGCCGCAGGACTGGATGAAGGACGTGGGGCTGGATTGGTTTGACGAGGAACTGTTGGGCCGACCTGAATCACCCGTGCCGTCAGCACCAGTGCCAAGACCCTCGGCTATGGAAAACAGTGGTGACCATCGGAGATACCGAGGTAGTTACCCGTCATATACCATAGAGTCGTCTGCATGGCTCATCCAACAACACCAACGGTCGGCCGACTCCGGGGACGACAACGACGAAGACGACTCGTTGCCACCTCCCGTCTTGCCACCCATGATACCCGGCACCAGGAGTTTTTCCGACCAACTGCACAGGATCCGGAAACCATATGCTTTAGGCTCACCACCATCCACCTCAGCTTCTGGATTATTGGTGAGATATTTTCAATATCGAATTAATATATTATAATTTTTGTCTGTATATATTCACACAAAGATCGTTACCAAAATAACATTTTCGTGTAATACGGCTTTCCCACCAGATCTCACAATTCTATTTAAATTTTCTATTCAAAAATAAATATTTTTGGTTACAACTTGTGTAATAATGTGATAAAAAACCAATTTCATTTTTATTTGTATTATTTTTTAAAGTGTGCTGTTTATAACGTTTAAGCTTTTGTTGGCGAGTAAGTAGCAACGGGAGTTTACTAATTGAAAAGTTTCATCGTTTCGTATTTACTTAGGTATGACATATTATACGAGTCTACACGTCATGTATGTTCTTATCCCTTGCAACCTTCAGCTAGTATTAATTTGCTTAAAATCAATTTAAGCTTATGCTTCAGTTTTAGTAGTTATTTTAAAGTATTTCATAACGATCAAAATTATAATAGGCAAATATAGATTATTGTATATTAGTTATTGAATTTTCCAATTAGACCATTGTGATTTATGATACTCCCACTATTTTCACTGTTTTTTATTTATTTGATTTGTATTTTAATAATTGATGACCATAATTATAAAAAAAATAAAGTGCATTTTTATGACCATTATTTTATAGTTTCATTTTAATAAATTTATATTTTTTAAAAACATATTAACTATTCCAATATCCAAAATCGACCATTCGACAGTACTTAAATATTTAAAGTTAAATAATATATATAGCATCACTCAATTATATTAGGAAATCAATTTCGATAGTCAGGCTATTAGATGTTTTAATCTAGTCTAAAGTTTCAGGAAAATATTTTATAAAAATAATTAAAATATAATAACTAACATTTATATTGCTGGTGAAATACAAAATAAACATAAAGATCAAATACAACTATTTCAATTTATACTTTTTTTGAAATTATGGTAGGATACAATTTTTAGTTTTTACCCTTGTTAAAATGATTGTCAGCTTGTGTTTTTTTACGTTATGTGTATTGTTTGACACAAATATTCCATCTTATATTCATACTTTTATCCTACGCATGCAATCATACTAAAAACAATGTAATAGATATTTTTTTATCACTTAACACGATACACATAATATAATGTATACAATATACATATTACTAAACAATTGTTTTTATTCTCGAGGTATAGTTTTTTTGTTTTAAAATAAATAAAAAAAAAACAGAGTGCACTTACGTACGTTTTAAGAGTTTCAAACAAATGATACGTCATGGGTTTAATTAGCGTTAAGCCAATACTTATCTACAGTGATGCAACTAGAAAATAATACCTATGTTGGGTGTGGGTCTGAAAGGGTTAAACAAAATGAATGAAAAACCTACTTGTCAAGGAATTCATAAACTCATCTTATGATTTGAACTGCATGCAATATAATATAGATATTTAGGTACTTTTATTAGTGAGCATGGGCAATTATGCACGAAGAATGTTGACAAGCCAATTTATAGTTAATGTTACTGGTTGTATTCTTTATTATGCTAATCAATGGTCGATAAAGCGAAAGAATGTAGGTACATAAAAATTAAGAATAATACATCCGATTAAGCAAGCAAAAACCTCGATAATAATTGGCTTAATTCATTTCCTTCTTAACATATTGATTGACTTAATAAGTTGACTTAACTCCGCTTTTCTGTTTCTTTGGTTTATAATTTTATATGGAAGTTGGAAGTTGTTTCAGTATATTTTTTCCGTTACTATTTCAATGATAATTTTTCATTCACTCTCTATAGCAAGATTTGTTTTCCACTTTTCAAGATTAAACATTGGATAAAGCCTAAAATCAACAAATTTTACAGTGATTGGAGTATAGAGTAGTTGCTACTTGCTAATTATATCAAAAACGCACCAAAAAGTAAGACGAGATCTATTAGTTATTAGTCATAATGTTTGATGATAACACGTATTTATGCCTTTGACAAGTGAGCATTGTATAAAATATTTTGCTCCACTCTTTTCAATGTCGGATGACTTGAAAACTATGGTGTCCAAAAAAATAATTCTGATCCAAGCACGGTATCTATAATAATTTCTGATTATATGATATGAACGCATACACAACTAACCCTCTCCTTCGCCAACGAACAGTTAAGATTTTTTGTCATAATTAGATTTATTTAATCAAAACATTCTGCAAACATCCGTTATACTTGCAAATTATAATAATTTCAATATCCACGTATTGTTAGTAATATTATTTTGTTTGAAATCAGTATAATATTTTAATTAAAATGTATAAATATATTAAATATTTTCGTCGACAACCATACAATTGTTTAAGGTTGCACAAAACCAATTATTAATCATTAGATAATGAAAATGTGTTCATTTGACGTAGACTGTAGACTTTATTTCAAACAAATTATTCCTCTTGTTATAATATAGTATATGTGATTTTTCAGGAAGTCCAAGATTTTGATTCATTTGGACACACAATTATGGCCGACGAAGAAGTTTGTTTTGACATACCATTTTTAATGAACGACCAAGATGATAAATCGCTCCTTCCATCAGACAATCAGGTTTGTATAGATATAAGTACCTACATATAAATATTAAAACTCATAATTCTTATATAATATGTCTTAATAATTTTAACACATATTTTACACAACCAAATGTTGTGCCTAAATTCTTTAAATTGTTATTAGTTTAAAAAGGGTGAGCGTGATGTGATAAATTTAATAGAGAGATTAAAAGGAAGATTTTATAAAGCAGTTGTAAGGCCAGTCACATATTATACTACTGTGCGGACTGGAATGTATTAGAGCAGTGGACAATAAAACTGAAAAGAAGGTGATAGTTGTTGCAGAGATGAGACTGCTAACGTGGATGTGTGGAGTGACTAGAAATTATATAACAAGAAATAAATTCATTAGGGGTAGTGTAAACATAGCAAGAATTGTAAACATTGAGGGAGAATAGGTTTGGATGGTTTGATCACGTTATGAGAAGAGATGTCTCAGAGTGGCTACAGTAATACATGTTGAAGGAAAGTGAGGGAGAGGTAGATCAGAGAAGAAATGGATAGACAGAATAGAGAATAACATGAACAAAGATGGTATACGTATTGGAGATGTGAGACAAAGATGGCTGTCCCTGGAAATGGTCGGGGAAAAGGGGCGAAGAAAAAAAGAAGAGAATTACATGAATATGTTATAATATATCTATAGTAAATGGATTATGAAGTGCGTGTTTCAAATTTTTAATTACGTCAAATAAATATTTTAATATTCTTTATGCTACACATCTAACAATCGCCCGATAGTGTATTGTTATAATAATAATTTTGTATAATGTATTCATTACTTATTAGTTATAATATATTATAATTTTATTGTTTAAGGTGGTGATGGCCAAAGACGATTGTGATGCCATAATGTTTGACACATTTTTGGAGCCACTATACCAAGGTAAGATTATATACATTTTATTATACTAAACTATACATAAATGACCATTTAATTTTACTCTTAAATTCCAAAAGCTAATATACTAAAAAATCTTTTATACTTCCCATCATACTCGTATTTTTCACTGGTCCCAGCATTTGATATTGTGGATGAAGATGTATTACTGTATTTTTTTGCATTTATATTTTAACTGGATGTGCAACTTATTGGCCTAACTTTTTAAATTATAATTAATATTTATAATTCATCAACTGTATAATATAAATTATTAAAAGTAATTTGCATAGTATCTTTAGATTGTTACCTTGCATTGAGTTGAATCATATCAAGTCAATAAACATACAATTATTTTCGTCTTAACAAAATCATAAAAACTCAACTATTAAATTCCTAAAAATTATATGCATTTTATTGATATGTTTTGGGTGAGTTCCGAGTGACCACTATATGGTGCATATTGTACATTTTACAAAATATATGAGGATAACAATATTAATATCATTGTTAATATGATATATATAATGATATAAATAAATCTTATAAAACAAATCAAAAGTATTTATAAATAAATGTTCTAATAAGTGTTGTCAATCGAAAATTATATGTACTATATTTATTTCGGTACACATAATACATTTGTTTAGCAATTCTCATGAATTCATACATTATTATGTTTTAATATATATTTCACGGATGACAAAACTTTTCAGAAATTTGAATTACATTATTTGTACCAACTGTAATTTTGTAATATGTAATCTCGCTTTGAATTATAAGTTATCATTTGAATAATAAAAGAGCATCTAAATAATGGTTAGTTTAGGTTATGTTAGGGTTCCAATAACTGGTGATTTGGTAACATTGAGCCACAATTTATCTACGTGCTTTGTATGCAATATTGTTAACATTTTATTACAGAAATGTTGGGCCACGAATAAAATGCATATTTTTCATAGGGAACTGGAAAATTGGGATACAACCATAGTTACTATTCGAGATTATAAATAAATGATCACCCAATAACCATTGTCGCCGCGGATTTATTCAACAAAAATAAATAAATCAATGTAAATTATAATCATAATTTTTTTTTTCAAAAATAAAAATATTGTATAAAACTTTACTAATAGTCACATAATTATTAATTATTAGTAGAAATACTAATATTTTAAAAAAAATAATGCCATAGATTTTACAGAATAAAATCTGGTTGTTTTTGGTTCTTTGTATTTACTTCTTTCACTATGAATATAATTTTTACAAATCTAAGGACCATTTTCTGGCCTTTATAACTATGCTTTTAATGTTAATGTAAATTCTTGTTCTTACTTCAAATAAAAGATTTACAAAATTATAGATAATATTAGGATAACAACTATGGGATAGTAGGATGTGACATATAATAGTTATTTTTTAAAAGCGATTTAAAAGACTCAATGGCATTTGCAGTTTGAGTTATAGTTAAGATGTACAGCCATATAAAATATGGAGGAAACATCATAAATGTAATGGCCCATGGCAAATTACCAGATTCGCTTTTATAAATGTAATATTTTACACACCTAGATACAGGATCCTATTTTAAAAAAGTTCATTGTGACCAAATAGTCATGTTCCCAAATAAACGTTCGATTTATAACAGATTTGTAATTTATTCCACTCAGAATCAAAGTACATAATATTATAATATAATTTATAAATATTTCTCAATTGAATAATTTATGTTTAAAAAAAATCTATTCGTGATGTAGGTAATATGAAACAATTTAGTTCTTTTAATGAAAAAATGGCGGCTCCCCTGATTTGAGTGCTTAGAACTGATGTCTTTTCTCGCCATCCACAAACTTCTCTCAGTGCGTATCTAAGTCGATATGAAAAACGTTTGAGCTGTACAAAAATGTTGGTAGTGTAAAATACATCCCATATTAATAAAAATGTGAGCGATCCGAACGCAAAAGTAATATTTTCATAAATAGAAGAAAACGAACTATCGATTTCTTCTTGGAAAACGCAGCGTACGAGCTTGCGGTACTCTATTACATTACTTATATATGCGCAAACCCTGTGTGCAGTGTACACTGTACATGTACAACGTTGCAAGGATACGCACAACTGGGAATATGAAAACCTAGACGCGGGACACGTGACCCAAATAGTACTCCATGGTTGACAGTGACGGGGTAGTTGGTGGTGGACGGGATGGTCCCAATGGGTATGAGGGGTGGTAGGTCATGAAGTAGGGGAGTTTCGGAGAAGGCGCCTATGGTCGGCTGCAAGAGGGGGGGGATAAAAGCTATATAGGTTTACGTATTTATATGCGCGTACTCCCTAGAAAACCCGGGCCAATTACACGAGGGGTGGGTGCATCAGCAAGTACACGAGGGGTGGGCGCATCAGCCAGGCTTGGGGTCTTCGACCCTCAGAGTGCTTTTCTGCGGTAACGATTGTTATTTTTTTTTCTATCGTTGGTCGCGGGCTCACGCGATTCGCTGTCGTCGCAGTGCCGCACCGCGTTCGCTCCACTTCGGCACTCTATCTATAAACGCCAAGTATACAATAACATGTATATAAACCAACCCCGTAACTATACTTTTCCATCCTACATCCCTGCTCTACCATATATACATATACACTGATAAACTCACCCCTAGCAACCTCCATTCGAAACCTTTTTAAAAGTTGATCTATATATACGCGCCACCCCTCCCTGTTTCGACGAATAGCAAAATCGGTTCCGAACTCCGAACTCTGTATAAATTCGTTTTACTAAAATAACAGTTGCACTATGTCCATGTATATGCTCATACACAACCACACACTCTTTGACCTCGAAGTTTTATGTGAGAAACTAAAAGTCTATTTTTGTCTCAAAAAACATTTTTAGGTCAATCGTTGCATTATTCTGTCAAATAAAATTTAAAAAATTTAAATCTTTAGAACATGTAAATGTGCTATAACACCAAAATCTAAAATAATAGGGAGCAGGGCCTTATTGATCCTTACCATAATGTTTTATAGTGCGATCAGTTAGCAAAAATACATCGAAGAATATCAATTTAAATATAAAGATATATATATATCACTATGATTTGTTTTTTTAAATTGGAATACCTATTTAAAACAGCTTTCCTGTACAATTTAGGGTTTGTGAAAGATGACCCCTTAGTGTCTTAAATACACGACGATTTAACGATGTCATAAGTCATTAAGTATTATAACATAATAGACACCTCCTATACACATACAACATACAGGCCTCACACTCGGCGTGTTATTCTTATACTAATTATACGTCTTATAACGACATTATACTGTTATTATGATCGTACACAGTTGGTCCATAACGTGTGGCTTGTCGTTTTTGCAGGCAATCCCTGCGACGGAGTGTTGGCGTGCGAATGGGAAGGGTGCACGGTAAAAGTCGATGGGCCAGGTCAAGAACCGCTGGTGCGGCACATCGAGAAACTACACGTGGACACCGCTCCCCGGGGCGCCTGCGCGCAGTACACGTGCCAGTGGCGGGGCTGCCCCAGGCGCGTGCGTCCGTTCAACGCCCGGTACAAGCTGCTCATACACATGCGAGTGCATTCGGGTGACAAGCCCAACAAATGCACGGTAAACGCCTCCTACAAACATGATAATAATAATAATAATAATAATAATAATAATAATAATATAGAATACAATATTATATGGATGTTGTATGCGACTATAAATTGCCATATATACTATAAAATGTATTGTCGGGGCGGGTAAATAATAACACGTAATATATATATATACATATATACATGTTAAATCATTATTGCGCAGTCCGAATGCATTTCCATCGTCGTCGTTGTCGTCATTGCATTACGTAATGATATTTACGAGCCCTTTTCCGTGTAATTCGGTTTATTTCGGTCGGCGTACAATCGTCATCACTCGTCTGCCACTATAATATAATAGTAGAATGCACAAAACACAAAACCATCATTATTATATACACGACTTTGTATCGTAGAAGTATTCGTATCATACAATAAACGATATGCTATTGTGTGATATCACTAATTTCGTTCTTTCCAGCATCCCGATGAAAATAATCTGAAAATTCGACCGTTTTCGAGGTGTACGAGATTTCTCTCAAACTATAGGACCTATCCAGTGGTCAATATTAGTTTCAACTACAAAGATCAATCAATTAACTGTTATTACTATTATTTCACTTACGGCAGCTGTCGGATAAATTAAATTATAAATGCAGGCCAAACATTTCGGAGCGGCGTAACCCGAGTTCCAGTAGAAAACACCATAAGTACAATTGTATAAATTATACTCTGAAGTTGATTAATTTGTCGACGTTAAAAATGACCTCTTCGTCAAAATATCAGACATGCGAACATCCTACCTACTCTTGACAATAGAGAAAAATACTTAGACTAATACTGCATAGGCTAGTTGATGTAAAATTGAACGACAGCAACAATATCTATAATATAATAGTAAATTAATAATCTTACTAGATACCTCGTAAATGTCGTGATCATAGCACATAACCTATTCATACAATATTTTCGGTATTCATCGCTATCGCAAAACTATTTATTTCTATAAACTCGTACGAAACAGTAACGTTATATATTCTGCCAACTTATATGACTTTTAAAGGCATTTGAAAACAGCAGTAGATTTGAAATTCCCGCCGCATCCCCGTCGCTGTGCATAATATATTTTATCGATTTTCCCGCCGACACCGTCACTAGGAATATTATATATAGGAACGTGCATGGCCGATGTTGTTGCACTATTATTTTCAATACTGCAATATTGTATAGTGTCTAAAGCTGATGGTACGCGTTATGTATATCGACATTTAAACTTGCCAAATTATATACCTATCGTCACAACAACAATAATTATTGACGTCCTTTAATATGTCACGGGCATGTGTAACTCGACCAACTATACAACTCACCGCTGCGGCACACCGTAATAATGGCTCTACCCACAGTTTTTCGAACCACAAAGCGTGCTTAATATCATATTATCATTATTTCGTGGCTGATGTTATAATAATAATAATAATAATAATATAATATCTCTACACACGAACTGCACCACCAGCGCAGTGTGACGTATATCGTGTTACATACATATATATATTATATAGCATCCACCGCGGCCAAAGAGTGCAAATATCGAGTGCACAAGCGCATTGACCGATGCTCTGCGTGTGGGGTGTATGCACATTGCACAATAATATATTATTATAATAATATGATGATGTGCGCGGCGAATATCTTGTAAAATACAGCGCGTGGATAAAAATATGTGTACCTACAATGAATAAAATGTTATTATCGTAATATATTATGTCGAATCGACGTGATATGCCATTTACAAATATGGATATAATAGGGTTTTTTGTTTCTTTTTCATTTTTTCCCCCGACTATGCGTTTATCGGAGAGAAAAAATATCCGATATGGCTTTTGTTTTACAAAGCAACACTCTTATTCGCGTGTACATGGACTGACCTGATTACACAATGCGAGAATACTATATATTATCATAATATTATCATCACCTTTGGTATGTCCCTTATTACTATTATTTGATCCACCCGACGTGAGTTATTTAAACGTCTTAAAATAAATCTAACGATTAGCAATGACGTCAATTACATAAATTGTCCTCAAAAAATAAATAAATAAAAATGCAATTTATTATCGTTCTATAATTCATATCATTTGAAAATGCTTCTCTGCTGCTATTGCAATATCATTAGTCTTAAAATGTATATGCTGTATAGCTTATAGCAATACCTGTACAATTGTGGGTTTATTTTAATATAATGTGCGCTTAATGATGATCATAAACGTTACATTAGTAAGTACATACATATACATGTATTGTATGTCACCGATTCTGATCGATTTTATAAAATTAGTCATGCAATTTATGCGTCTTGTATATGACGATATTATTTTTCATTTACAAAAAATTTCGATTAAAGGGACTAATGAAAAATATTATATGTATTTACCAACAGTTTGCTGGCTGTCCAAAAGCATTCTCTAGGCTAGAGAATTTAAAAATTCATCAGCGGTCACACACCGGTGAAAAACCATATTCATGTCAATTTTTGGGTTGCTCAAAAGCGTTCAGTAACAGTTCGGATCGAGCGAAACATCAAAGAACACATTTCGAACAGGTAATTTATTATTATTAAATTTAAATGTGATCATACCTTTAAAACGAAGTGCAAAATGTTGATAGTGATATGAAATTAAAAACGCAATTACATTATATTTTGATTATCTAAAATTTAAGATAAACATTTTTTTTTTTATAATATTTACATAACTATCATAAAAAATTATTGTGATTTAATAATTGAGTATTTGTGCAAATTAAACTATTTTTTACTTAATGAATGCGGAGAAAACATCATCAAATGCAGTACATTATGTTAACGAATGAAACGTATATTAACAGTATAAGAGGAATATATAAAATATAAATTATATCGAAGTTATAAAACTTTCTCGAATGAAAGTCACGAACAATAAGAATAGCTTATTATTTTGAAGTCGTGATTTTTGTCGATTACTATTTTCTATATCAAGCTGAGCAATATAATTGTATAACAACAGCGAGTTATTGTATAACTATAAACTATATGCGCTCCAGTAGAGATAAAATTCACCGCCGTTTTTATGATCCAGAATAATAATGTAATAACCATCACATCAAAATGTGACCTTTGTACAGCTATATATTATGGTGTTAAAAAATATATCATTTTATAGAAAATAAAATTGTAAAACAAAATATACACGTGTTACAACTTACTATGAATACTAAAATTGTTTTTGTTTATTTTCATCGATTGTACTTTCACTGATATAATCAATCATCAGATAATCACGTACGATATAATAGTCGTTTATTAAGACATTTAGATATACATTAAAATATAAAATAATACAATTATTAAAAATTAATTAATCACGCAGTTATAAAATAAATTCGAAATCATACTGATCATTAGAGTCATTAAAACAACATAGAATCATATTATTCTATACTATTAAACATAAAAATAAAAATATAATATTTCATAGTATTATTTTATAGACACGTATGCTAATAAATTGCATATATGGAATGCCGTCTTTAAATTAAAAAACTTACTATCTAAAACATGTTGTTGGCCGTGGTCTAGTATATATTAAGTCGTAATAGTTGTATTAATTGTTTATTGAAATATTTACTTTATCCTCAGCACCCGTTAAATTAATCATATAGATAGTTTTAAATAACATTTTCTAACAGCGTTTCCTAAGAACCTTATCTATGAACTAAGATTTTAGGTGTTGCAACTTGCAATTTAACAACAACAACAAAATAATAATAATAATAATAATAATAGTAATAGAATTATGATTCGAATTTCCTCAAACGATCCTTTCAACAGATGATTTAATTGTTGAGGTCATAAGTAAATAGTCATTAAAAATCCATGTCAACTTTAAACAATCACTATTCACAACAATCTCTTATAAATTAGATTTCTAATAAAATTGTATGATTTACAGAAACCATATGCCTGTACGGCAAGTGGATGTAACAAACGGTACACTGACCCGAGTTCACTCCGAAAACATGTAAAAAACCATTCGCCACAACCATCTACGGTGAGCTACATTTAATACCTTAAAACTGAAATGAATAATAATTGTGTACATTGTGAAATGTTTTTGATGTTGTGGTTGAAATTATAATGAATTTAAGCTCAATAATATCAATGGTGTTGGTAAACAAATACTAATAATTATATTTTGTTTTTGTTTTATTGTAGAAGCATTGGTCCAAAAATAATATTTTACCTAAACCCCATCATGTTCAATCAGAATTGGGCAGTACAACAAACACTCAGGCAATACGTAAGTTTTTTTAATAAGTTAAAATACAAATCAAGGTCTTGGAAGATAAAGTTGGACAACTTTAATTTATCAGAGTTCCACTTACAGGAGAAAAAACGTTTCTAATGTCAGCCACCTTCGGGGAAACTTCTTCTAACTATACGTTTTTGAGGTTATGGTTTATTAGGATTGTAATTTCAAATTTATAAGCAAAATAAGTAGTTAATAATAATAAACAATAATAACACATGACGTAACGTTCGTATTACTTTTTGAATAGATTAATTTTAGTGACAAAATTAACTATAATTTATTTTATTTTATCAGTATTTAATATTTATTAAACAATTTAACTGCTACCTTCTCAATACTACCTACAAAATATTTTAAGTATTAGTTACCTCAAAAATACTTAAACATAAAGTGGTCATAATTGAAATTTGTATTATTGCTACGCGAGCACATATAACTAGGTAAAACCATGGAGGGAGACGATGTTCTTCCTTATCTTCTAAGGCTGTAGGCAAACAAAAAATTACAGTTCCAAATTAATGAAACTATTGTTTTTAATTTTATGTTATTTTTTTTTTTAGGTTATCCCGATGAAAAACAGTTCAAAATCAAATTAGAAAAGACTCAATGGTAAAATGTATGTTGCATAACGCATACTTTTTAGGTTTATGAAGCATGTGATTTTTGAAAACTAAGCTCATGGATTTATAATAATTTGTTGTGATTATAGAGAATAAAAACTATTTAAATAAGGTATCTTAAGCAGATTAAATTTAGGGATGCATTTTAAATTTTTGTTGTCTTTTAATATTATAATTATATATCAATCTCATTTATTTTAACTTTTCTTTTTATATTTAATTATTATAGATAAGTACATTAATTGTTTGATCAGTTTACTTAAAATTTTACGTACGTTTTTTAAATTTTTATTTATTGTATTAAATTTGTTTTAGAAAGTAATATTTTATACATGAAAAGTAATAATAAGTTTTGTATTGTGAAAAATTAAAATCAAATTGAAATAAAATACTTTATTTTGTTCATATTCCGTGTATGGTGTGGTAATTAGTTATCTCCATTCTCCTTGAATTTTGAAATTCGAATACTGTCATCATTTTAATTTTCAATGAGACGAAAAAAATTCGTTCAACATTCGTATTCATAAAGTTAGTGTATTTTATAATCAATTACCTATTATTCAGTACCGAAAAAAATGGAATTCTTCAAATGAAGGTACTTTTGTTTAAATACGATGTAACCAGAGCTGGGCAGTCAAAACTATTAAATTAAAAAACCAAAAAATGTTATTATTTTATATTTGATCAATTTGATTGCATTAAGTTGTACTCAGTTTCTCACTTGAGACAAGTGCATACGAGGTAAGGACGTATAAAAGAAGAATAAATGCTTAAATAAAATAAGAGTTTAGAGTTAATAATTAAACTAAGTTCTGTTATTTTAGGAGTTAAATTTAATGTATGATTAGAATAAATTAGATAACTTATAATCAAAAGTTAGATGGGTAGTGAAGTTCTTTGGAAAAAAATATGAAGTGAATTAATTAATGAAATAGTCATTCCATTAGAATACCGATTTTAAATATCATCCAAATCTTTTTGTAGTTGTAATGCGATTTCTTGACTATTAGGTTTTTTCATCGATATGATTTTTTAAAAGTTAATCTGAATATTTATTAACTTGTTCATCAGTAGGTCGATCGGCCTTAAGATCTTCAACAAAACATTAAGTAATTTCAAAACCTATTTCAGATTATTGATTTTGGTATTCACTCAAAAAGTGGGCGTCTCGAAAATAAACTAATAACGTAGGTACATTCTACACATTCTAGTATCCACCAAGTGAATGCTAGATTTGTACAGCAGAAATTTTAAGTATCTTAAAATATAAATTATAAATAACCAAAGAAGACCAGATCAAATGTACCTATTATACCTACACATTACTCAGCAAATCGCTCAGCACAATCAACAGCGTTAAGAATAATTTCAACCTACGTGGTAACAGTCATTCAAAACAAATTAGACAAAACAACTAAAAAATATAAACAAATAACTTTCATGTGGTTACCTGGGTATATACCGGTATTGAAAGAAACGAAACAGCAGCTAAACAAACCTACGCTGGAAAAAAATATACCCCATTTAAAAATATGCAAATGCAAACATGGAATAGATATATCAAAAACTATGAAAACTTTGAAAACAACAAACAAAACCAAATTAAACACAACATTCAAATGGGAAAAATCCCAAATTCAAACTAAAGGAAGAAATTACTATAAATCACTTCCAAATAGGATATTCCCGGCTCACCCACGAACAATGTAAATCCTGCGGAGTTAGCCTTTCGATTAAACACAATATTATACTAACCGAGTGCCAGCCATATCAAACCCAAATAATAAACCTAAACATACTTACCCAGAAACCTATGGATACCTAACCTCTCTTGGATCAAAACCAGAGAACAATGAAGTTAATATACAGTTTCTAAAAATTACCAACATGTTTAACAAAATTGAATACCATAAAAATAATACAACAACACAATATTATATTCATACTCCTTATTATTTTTATTTTTTATTTGGACTATAAGGCTTCAAATACTAAGGTCATTAGCCTGGTACTCTGTAGGGGGGACGGTTGGTTAGAACACATTTGTATGTGTGGCAAAGATGTGTTGCTAAAAACCCGGGTGGTCACCCATCCGAGAGCTGGCAACGACAGCCGATACATACGCTCAGAGCGTCGTCGCAGATTGAGCGTACGACCGTGCCTCATCAAGCCAAACTTATTTTTTATTTTCAAAAACTATTTATGTTCTTTCCTCTGAACTTCATTAAAATATATATAATACTGTTATTTCCTAATCAACACTTTTATGAAATCAAATTGTATCTGGGATCAATCACAAAAAAATTTTCGTTTACTCGATAATTATTTGTCTATCGCAGATAAAAATCGACATAACAGTATATTTGTACAATAATACGCTTGAAATTGCTTAAAAATATTTTTTTGGTAAAACTGCTGATTATTTAATACTTTTAGGCTTTCACCAACTAATAATATACTTACCACTTAAGTCTACGACCCACTCACACATTCGGTTCCACCAGTACGGAGTTCTTACTATTGCTAAAATATTCTTACAATGTAAAAAAGATTTGAGTTGTATTCAATGTACCTATATGCATAAAATGTACCTATTTATTAAAATATTATATAATTACTGTTCTTCGATACTTTATAAAATATATATTTATATTATTTTATTGTATTTTACATAAACTTTCTGAATAACAGCTTTTAAAAATATTAACATTGTTTTGGCGAAAACATGAAATTGGGAACCTAGTATTTTACTTTGTTTCAGAATAAATTGCCCTCAAAAATGAATTTTTTGCCATTTGTAGGTATAACATTTTCTTTTCCAGCTAAAAAAAGATCATTAAACTTATACATTCTGAGTGGAGCAATGAATGTATTGATTTTACAATGAGTGTGTGTTTTTGTATTTTTTTTCTTTAATGTTATTTGTATCTGTGTCTGTGTAACACGAAGTAGTTAAAACAATGCTCTGATTTATAACTTCAGTAACTTTTGTAACTTAAAAAGGAGTAACCGTAGAGTATTGAAATTTTAACATATACCCCATGGCCCATACAGTTAAAATATTTTGTCTCTCCTTAAACTATTTACAAGCAACTGCAATTTTTAACTTTTATTAGTTTTTACTTAATTATTGACGATAAAAATGTTTCACTGCGTTAAAAAACTTTACGATTGAATACAAGATTCCTAATGAGTTGTCATCGGTTTAATAAAAAAAATGTGGAGCATAAGCTTACAATAATTTTTTATGAGCGTCTTAAGTTAAAATTTTGAAAACCCGTCAAAATCACGAACATTTTCAAAATATTTCCTAGTTAAAAGTAAAATATTTCAGTTTTATAGCCATAAAAATTTAAAATTTAAAACAATAAGTATTTCATACTGTAACCAAAAACCCTAAAAATTACACAGTATTTGATTATGGATATTTTAAGTTAAAATTTGGAGTAAATGAATATATTTTAACGGAAAAAAACGATTTTAGTTATTTTTTTGTTATTTAAAAATATTATTATTATAAGGCTGATAGACCGTCTTCAAGTTCAGAAATATTTTTCGTATAGAATGATTTTATATTGTTGAAGTAACATTTTTACACACCTGTCGTAGTGACCAATACCTTTTGACTATTGTACAGCAGATCGGTACCCACTAGCCCTCCTTTTTTATTACAAACTTATAAAGTTAAAAAGGCTCAGGAATTGTTTGTTGGGGAAAATATTTGTTATATTTTAAAACAAAGACATAATCGCCCTAAATTATGTTATACTCGTATCGTACTAATAAATAACGTAGTACTTAATATTTTTATAGTATGACACTTAGTTGTGTCTGTTACTTTTAGAATGTACTATTAAGTGCACTTTTTTAAAAATATATTCGTCATACACTCTTAATTACATAAGTTGTAAAAATGGATTTAATTGTGGCCATATTTTTATATAACAAAGGCAATTTAAATTTTTAATGAACTATAATTGAGTAAGGTTACATAATATTAATTTATTAAATTTATCTTGAGATCACTATATTCACTGCTCGAGTTCGACATACTCGATAGATTATACTATACATAGGTAGTAGTTATTTGGAATAGTTTATTAGAAACAGCGTTAAAAATTTAAATATTCAATACTGGTAATTAGTGCTTAATCTAGATCCAAAATGGTGAGCTTAATATTATATTATACCGTATTAATGATATATGTTCACTGACTATGGAGATCCCTAAATACATCACTAAATGTGAATAATAAATGTACAATAATCAAGCCGGCAGTGTACTAGAACGATTTGTATTTTTTATTAATTGAATATTCAACCTCTTCTTTTAGATTTGAAATGCATTCACTCTGAAGTGTAATTTTTTCCTGGTTGGATCTTTGAAAATATGTTGGCTGGCTTTATTATATTATACTGCATAAAAGTGCAAGAAATAAAGCAATTATGGATAATGCAAAGTTGTTTCAACACCAACTAATAACTACGTAATTGAGGCATGAAACAATAAATTATTATCTATCTATTGCATATTGTTATTTTAAACATTAAAAAAAAGCAGTTAACTGAAGTTGCACACGTGATTTCTGACAATCGATTAATCAAGTGCGTTTACTATATTATACATAAATGTTTCCACCGGGCTCCAGTTACATTAAATTCAGTTGAGTAGCTTGAACTTGCAGACAGTCGTTTTCGACTAAAGTGTCGTATGGGATCGTAGAAAATGGGAATGAGAGCAAGGAACTGGTAGTTTGGTGCCGGAATATCGCGAAATAAAAACCCCCGTCGGCAAGACTAAAAAGACCAATGGTCTGCGTGACAATCGAATTTCCAGATCAGCTCAATGATAAATGTGTAATGTGTATTTATATTACATTATGAGTGTACAAAACGTATAGTGTTTGAATTTGGAAGGAATAACCGGAATGCTTCTTCTTTTTATAATAAATATTTAAGAGTATCTATTCTTTATACATTTTCTAAATATTACATAATACAAGTCATTATGTACTCGCAAGTCTTTATCAACCGTACATATTTTTTAATCTCTTATAAATTTTCTATTAACATAATATATGAAGCAATATTAAATTATTATTATTCTTTGAAGTATAACAAACTAAACAAAATTAAATGATGTTCATTAAAATGTGAATCATATAATAATGTATAGTTCATTACACGCATTTGCTAAAGTCAATATAC